AAAAACGGTTGATATTTGCTTTTAATTCAAGTTCTGGGTCGGTAGTCTCTTCACCAGCATTGAAAGAGTCAAATATACAAAAAGCGCGAATCGAGATCACGGTATTCTGCATCCTTCAATGCAATTTAGCTCAAAGTTGAGAACCAGCTCCTTCCGATAAAAACACGCTTTATTGTAGTATGTTTCTTATAGTGCAATTTTTTTCTCCCTTTTCGCTCTCGAAACTGTCATGCTTTAAAGTTTTACTAGTTTCACTCTCATTGTAATTGAATCACCGCTGGTTTCTTAGGATCTTCAAACCTGGACTATTGCTCTATATTTTTGCACATCCCAATCTGTTTGGAAGCCTTATTTTTTTGCTCGTTTTTCACGTTTTTTAACCGATAAATATCTCTGCTTAATCTCGCTTTTTCTCATAATGCAGCTCATTCATTTAGAAAGTCCTGCGCCTCCAAAAATGAGCGGTGCGACAAGTGCGACGCAACGTCTCCAACCGAAGCGTCAGACTCTTGATGAGGCGTACGCACCGCCGGCGAATTTTCTCGAAATTGAAGTGGTAAATCCGATTACTCATGGTGTGGGCAAAATGCGCTATACGGACTACGAAATCAGACTAAGGGTGAGTCAAGTACATAAGCGATTGTTTGGTTGTTTCTGGTTGAGACAACGTAGAAACATTCATCATTTGTTAGTCTTTGGTGGAGACTAGTTGAAGGGAAACTGGTCTGCATCTAATCCTAGCGGGCTTTTCTTCTTTATGCTAGGATTGGACACACGGGAGGATGGATAAGGATTATCATTTAGATTGATTAATAAAATAGAAGGGGGAGAGTATCCTCGTTTGCATGAGAAACTAGGGTTTATTTTATGTGAAGGGCTTTCCACTGCCGAGGTTTTTATTCAGAGTCGCTGGTTAAATGATTTCTCGTTATGCCTTTCGATTACGCACATAATACTGTTATGTTGTACAAAATGTCAAACACTCTCAGATGTAACTTTATCGATGAACATGTAAAGTTTTCTATCGTTCAAAAGAATAAGTGAGCTTCGCGAGTCATAACATGCGTATGCCTCTTATTGAGCTAACCTGAATTTTTGTCAGCAGTAAAACTAGTGAAGTTGCTTTTTTTGGGAATTCGAATTAAACTAGTTTTTGTTGGAAAATGATTTTTTGGTACATCATGAAGGTGTCTCATTTATGTATTGAAAATTGTAGTCACATATTCGTACTTTTGGGGCGCTTTGCATCTGTGAGCCAGACGCATAACTAGCGAGATCGTCAATGGTTAAGTGAATCACATTGTGAACAGAGAAGAAAGAATGAGGAACAATATACAAGTGAAAGAACCAATGCTCAAACCTGTTTGCAAGTTTAACCGCGCTCACCACTTTGGAAGTTTAGTCCAGGACAAATGGATCTCAGTGGCAGCTTTATGCATAAGTAAAGTGTTTAAAAGACGTGTTCTTTTGATTTGTCGTTTTTCTTGCCATTTCAAAATCATGTAGAAACTTTTTTCCTTTTTTTTGCCATGAATCATCCAAGTACAATGCTGACTTGCGATCTGCCTTCTGTTTTCATTAAATGGCTAAAAAGTTCGCTTGTTATTGTAATTGTTTAGCTGCTCATAATTCATTCTGTGTAT